AACCCTAAACCTAAACCTAACCCTAACCCTAAACCTAACCCTAAACCTAACCCTAAACCTAACCCTAAACCTTACCTTAAATTAAATCGCGCTTCTGTCGGCGCGCTGTTGTCGGCGCGCTTTTGACATCGCGGTTTTAGCGCCGCGGTGTTGGCGCGCTTATGACGTTCGCGCTTTTGTCGGGTCACGCAATTATTTACTAAGTCTGTATTACTATTATTCTTCTCAACCTTTCTAGCGCCTATCTCTTCCCATTTATGACTATAACCATGTTGCTTGTGTCTTTACAATTTATATTGTTTTATTTGTTTCCTAGTATGATTTGCTTGCTTATTAGTAACCTATGACTATCACTAAGTGTTGTATCTTATGATTCTTGATGAATGTATTCTTATGTTGTTTTTTTCTTTATGTACACTGAAAGCCTATGCACCACAGACAAATTCCTTGTGTGTCCAATCACACACTTGGCCAATAAAGAATTCTATTCCGTTCTAAATTAGTTCTCCATGTTCTCCATGAATGTAAGTGGCATGAAGTACTGCTATGTAAAATGTTCTTTCCCCAAGCTTTAAAACTTATTTAACTGGTTTTCTGTGGATTTCTTTTTCAGTTGCTAGCTGAACTCTGCGAACAAGGATATTCAGATGCTCTTAGATTTTTGAAAAAAAACGGTAGGTTACTGTTTTCAAATTTATTTACTTCACGTAGCAGAAAGGAGTGTCCAGAATGCTTTATTATGCTCAGATTGATTGTAGGCGGAAAAACCACGTATTTCTTTTTCCCCAAAGTTTTTTATTTGTTTATTTTTTAATAAATATATCAAATCAATGTGTGAACATTGTGGCACCTGGATATCATACATTCTAATACAAATAAAACTAGTAAAGTTAATAATTATTACATTCATTCAACTTATGTATTTCTAATAATACTACACATTTATAATAGGTTGTAATCTATCATTGTTCAATTATTCCATGTTTTCTCTTGTCATTACTTTCATTTTATCATATAAAAGTATATGCACTAGTTTTCCCCCTTCTCTAATTTCTATCACTTATTCTATTCATGTCACCCTTTATTAAAATACTTTTTCTTTCTATCCTATCTAACTTCTAATCATGTCACTTACCTAAAAAAAATAGAAGAAGAGGGAGAGAGAGAGAAGGAAAAGCAAACCGGAACAACAAAAAAAGGGAGATCATCCATCCATCGTCTCTTGCCCGCTTCAATACTTTGATTGCAGTGCTTTAAGAAACACATATTTCTGATGTTTTCTTTCCGGAATGGGCAAAAAAACATTTCCCCCCCCTTCTGCTAGGGTAGGTCATTGTCTTGTCTCTTGAAATTTCAGTGTTATCTTTGGATACTTATTTTTCGACAGTCCTGCCCTTCCTGCTGTTGGCTTAGCGGGGGTGGGAGTGGTGATATGTGGGAATACAATTCATGGAGATTGTGAGATTATTTATTGGAACTTCCGAAGTGTTTGACTATCATAGTAAATGCCAAGAAATACCACAAAATGTCCCTAAGTCAGTCTCTCTCTCACCTCCCACCACAAGAATCTTAAAATTCAGATGGAACTTTTCTTGGGTCTGTCTGTTTTGGGCTCCCCTCTTTCAAGATGTACCATATTTTTCAGAGTATATGATGCACCGGAGTATAAGACGCACCAAGGTTTTGAAGGGGCAAATTAAAAAAAAAAAGTTTTTGCACTCTGCAAACCTCCCCAAAATGGCCCGTTTTTTGCAAAAACGGGCCCGTTCCCCCCCCCAAAAAAGGCATGAAGAGGCTTTTAGCCACTCTGGCGGTATGTCCACCATTAGAGGCGGAGTGGCCAAAAGCCTCTTTCTTGAAAGCGTTGTCAAGAAAGAGGCTTTTGG